TTTTTTTTTCAAATATAGGTGTTTAGTGGACAATATGAAATCAATGAACAACTTATCCACCTTGCAATTGGGCCGATCTTTGAAGTGAATGTTTATAATGGGTTCTATGTGAACGGCTTTAGATTTTTGACTGAAGAGTTTACTAGTAATAGAAAGACATATAACTGTGGTGTTTGTGTTAAAGGAACCACCATTAATTCTGCAGATGAAATTGATTATTATGGTGTCTTAAAAGAGGTGATCGAGTTATTGTATTATGGACACTCAGGCCATCAAGAGACTATAATATTGTTTAATTGTGATTGGTATGACACGAATCAAGGAATACGTGTCAATGTTGAACACGGAATTGTTGATGTCAATCAAAGGTTTAAACTTTCAACGGGGGAGCCATTTTACCTTGCTAGTCAAGCACAACAAGTTTATTATACTCCATATCCTGCAGTCGCGGATAGAACTACCCGGGGATGGTTGGCAGCATGTAAAATCAAATCTAGACATCTAATTGAGACCTCATCTATCTCATCTTCAGGAGAGGTTGATGATATTTTTCAAGATAATGACCCCTCCATAATGCAAGGCTTTTCATTAGCTATAAATTTAACTGCATACCAATCACTTGAACTATGTGCAGAAGGTGTTACAGAAGTTGAGGTTGATGCTAATACGTCTGAAGAAAATGAGGACTATGGAGAAGAAAAAGATTTAGAATCCTCAGGAAATAGTGATAATGTTGAGGATGGTGATGATAGCGATGATAGTGATGATTAATTGAAACATTTGTATTATTACTTATTAAATATATGTATTAAAATTTCTTTGTTTTACATGTATTGTTTTATCAAGTTATAAATTTTACATTTAAAATAGAATCATTGTATGATTGTTCTAAATTTGTTACTCATTATTTGTATAAATGTATTAATAATTATTTTGTTATTCATTTTTTAGGATGTCTGGTAATCCTGCAGGTTCAACAAGGAGGAAATCTTCCTCCTCAGGATCACAAGAGCAACACAATTTTAATCACCCACAGCTGTTTACTGATAGTGGCGTAGCTCCGGATATACAGCAAACGATTGATCCATTAATGGATTATAATTTTGCACCTGATCATGAGAATGAAGGCCCTTCATCCTCAACGAGGAAAAAAGGATAGAGTAGGAATTTAAAAGAAATACGCCCTCCATAAACTAGAGAAAGCAGGAAATGGATTAAACTCACTGATGATAAGCTCCAATTTGCTGATCCAAACATCCCTTGAGTTATCACTTCACTATGGAAGTCATGTTTTGATGGCCCGTATTTTACATACGAGCGTGTCCCCCAAAGCAAGATTGCTGAAATTTATAATTGTTTCAAGGTAAGATTAAGTTTTAGCAAATTTAATAAAATGAATAGATTCAGCAATTTCTAATAAAAATAAATAATTTCATTACTAAACTAGAATTTACATTTCTAGACATCTAATGTTATTCATTTCTTATTTTGCAGACACTTTACTAGTGGGATCCTGCAGATAATCGCCATGTGCGAGATGCATTCCTAAATTCTATGAAACATAGATGGAGTGACAATCTCAGGGATGAGAAGTTGAAATGGGACAAGAACTCAGCCTATGTCCCATGTTGGATCCCAACTCATATATGGCCTCAATTGTTGACATATTGGGACTCTGATGAATATAAGAGGCTCAGTTTAAGGGGAGCAAAGAATAGGAGCTTTGGGAAAAGGGTGACTCACACCACTGGGTCTGTTAGCTTTGGCATCCATGAGATGTGAATGGTAATCAAGCTTAATTAATAAAAAATTTAATATATTAGATTTTATTTAACAATAAATTGTGTCAATTTATACTAACCAATAAATTGCATTATCAATATTTTGAAATATAGATTGAGTCTAGAGGTGGTGTGCAACCTCCCCATCAGGAGAAATTCAAGGAGACGCACACCTTCACAAAAAAAGGCAGGAAAGAATCAAGAGCCAGCGTGGATCAATGAAAAAGCAAAGTATCGATATGTAAGTATATATAACATATAAATTAGCATAAAATGTATAGTTATAAGTGTGAAAAAAATTTATGTAATTAATCTAAATTATTTAGCAAAGTCTACTTTTTTTTATAGATTCTTTTCAAACTATTTTTGACAACATTATTACTATTACTATTATTTTTTCAGGATACTTATTTTGCGGAGTGCACAGATAGTCATGGCTCTGATGCTAGTTCGTGGCCACGCATGGATAACGAGGCATGGGTTAAAGCTGTTGGAGTTTGCTCATCTAATTTCATGCCAGGGATTGGCTCCCAAGTAAATCCAGAGATTGTTGGTTTTACTTACAGGAAGAGACAACCTCCAGAAAACTTAATAGCAGCACTGATGGCGTCTGACTATGAGGAGATACAGGCAAAAGATCATGAGGAGTTAGAAAGACAACGCCAACAAATTGCTCTGATGCAACAGCAGTTGGCCAATATGACAGAAGCTCAGAATAATATGAGCCAAGCAATTGCACAGTCTGTTGCAATAGCTTTAGCCACTCATGGCATCTCCCCTCAAGTAGGTCATCATCCAATTGCCCCACCACAACCGTCACATGGTCTTGGCTCAGGTCTTCGCATGATTCAGCTTTCACCTACTCCACTAATTCTACACAAACCTCTCCTATGGTCCCTGAATATCAGCAGCAGCGGCAGTTTCCGCCTCAAAATGATGATGCATACCATCCTACTTTTGATCTAGACTATCAGGGTCTTTAGTTTTTTTTATTTTTCTACTACGCACATTATCTGGATACTTTGCATGATTGGCTTTATTTCTATTAGTACTTTAAATTGTTAGCTTTAGCTTTTATTACGATATATTTTCTTATTTTGCTTGACCTCCAGTGATCATATTTCAAAAGGTATGAAATTTTGGACTGCTTTGGAGGTTAATTATTATTAACTAAATATCGTGGGTATTTAAAACAATGGTGTGTGATTGCCATATATACTTTGTGGTTGTGGTTGTAGTTGTGGTTGAAAAGGTATAATTGTTTTTAGCATACTAGACTTGTAGAATATATGTGTTTCTCATTGCAAATGCAAGTAAAAAAAATGGGTTTTAATCATATGTATGGGGAAACTTTGTCAAATTTTTTTTAAAATTTATACCAACTAAAATGACCTAATTACAAAAAATCTATTGAATAAATTTCAAATTATTGCATTTTTTATCACAAAGTTGTAATATTGCAAATGTAGATTTTAAAAAAAAAATACCTTTTATCATATATACGGGGGAATTTTGATAATTTTTTTAAAATTTTATGTCCACTAAAATGTGAGAAATCTGTTACATAAATTCAGAGAAAATGGCATGAAAACGAAATCTGGAAAGGAACTTAGGCAAAATGGATGAAATCTAGAGAGGAAGCTGTTGAATTGTTACCAGCCATACTAGAAACGTACTCCTAGTCGGTAAAACTAATTTCCAACTTGCATCTTGTCGGTAAAGTCGCCAAAAACACACCAATGGGAAGATGGTCGGTAATTTGGGCAGGATTGCAAAAATTTTGGTTCCCGCTCTCGGTCACTTACCCATGTGATCTTTGTCGGTGAAACTAATATCGACTAACCACACATGGGTAAGTTTCCATGTATATACCCCCACCACTCTACCTGGCTTATTTCTTCTTATCTTCCTTCTTATTCTTCTTCTTCTTCTTCCTCTTCTTCTTTTTCTTCTCCTTCTTCTTTTTCTTCTCCTCCAGCTATTGCCTCCTCTTTTTCTTCCATTCAATGCTGCTGGATTAATTGTTTATATATGTTTATAATTACATTATTGATATAATTTTAGGTTGATATTTTTTCAATCTCCTCTCTTTTAATTTTCTCTTTCATTATTTCTCCCTATTTAATTAAATACTAATTTGTGTTATTTTATTTGTTTCCCAAGAAACATTAGGAGATAATCATTGGGGTAAGTAAATTTTCTTTGTGTAAATTTTATTTATATAAGCCATTAGAGATATTAGGATTGAAATTAATTATAGATAAATACTAACTTAATTTATGTTTTTTTATTTTCTTAGGAAATGGTGTTTTGCAA